GATGGTGCAGAGACCGGAGTGGTTCCATAGCCTCGGCAGACAGTCTCAAGTACCTACGGCAGACGGTCTCAAGTACCTACAGCAGACAGTCTCAAGTACCTACGGCAGACAGTCTCAAGTACCTACGGCAGACAGTCTCCAGTAACCCCTCCCCCCCAGCAGACACCCTCCAGCACTCACGGTAGACTATTTTTACAAGACTGAACTTCTGAAGAGCAGCAGTAACAAGATTCGCTTCACGTTACACTGACTGAAATGAACAGAGCAAGTTTGGCTAGGCAGGGGAGGGAGTGATGGTCGACCTTATCTATATTTACATAGAAAATTATAAACAATAGATCGGTTTTCACATCAGTTTCTCCCATTCACCAAAGATAATTTTTTTTAGTTTTTGATGAGAAACCTTTTTTCAAGACGTAAAATCCCAGAATATTGAGTAAATCTGAGAAACAAAGTCTCTCTCTCTCTCTCTCTCTCTCATCATATAAAATTCTCTCGAGTGAGGTAAAGACTTTGTTCCTTGTAAGACTCAACCATCAACATTGTCTGAATATCTTCCATCAAATCTCTCCACAGTGTAAGGATATGAAGGGCACTTTTTGGCTCCCTCAGATACAAGAGAATGGTTGTTATTATTAAACTTCCTCAGTGTGTTGTGTTTTATGATGAAGTTGACGAGACTTATCAAGATACTTGGAGGTGATCAGAACAAGGAAGTATAATAGTTGGGAAAATTGGTTGATTGTTTCGTCTTGTTTAGGGAATTTTTATGATAAACTCTTGAGGGAATTTTTTTTTTTAGTTCACAGTAGTTTTTTTCTTACCCCTCTCTGAGATTTTGAGGTAATTTCCCTATAGTTTCCCTAGTATGTGTTCACAGGTTGCAGTCATCGTATCTCTTAACGTTTCATATCTCTTTAAAGTTATCTCATAGTTTATAGGATTCAGACTTTCTATCTCTTAAAGTCACCTCATAATGTAATAAACTAAAATAAGGTATAATAAACATATCAACCAGCAACTCAATATTCCTATTAAATTCTTCAGTCCAGAGCCAATGTATATATTTGTCTTATCGCAATTGAGTGTCAGTCGGTTCTCTCTCTAATTTATTTCTGCCGTGATCTCCAAATATTTCAACTGCATTATCAGCCGCTTGTCCAGTCAATAGGTGTTGCAGAGTCTAGGTATTCAGTACAGTCCTCTTGGGTCTTTTGTGATAATTTATTCTTTTATATTTGCCGATAATTTTCTTTAATAGTCAGTGTTTCTTATTTGTTATTTCATCAAACATTAGATGATTTAAAATTATCTTAAGTTCAACGTAATCAAACTATAATTTAATCTATTTATAGTCTAGTCTAACCTAACCTAACCTAACCTAACCTAACTTTAACCTAACCTAAATCTAACGCAACCAAGCCCTAACCTAATCTCAATTTAAACTAACCTAACCTTAACCTAACTTAACATTTATCAATCCTTAACTTAACGTCATCTTAATCCAAACTATAACTAATCCCTACATCAAACAACGTAACTATAATCCAAAGATCATTAACTACACATTAAACCACGAAACATTTATTCCCTGCACACAGTTACGCTTGGCTGGGCTTAGTAACACAGGTAACTTTAACAAACATTATATTACATTGAGAACACTTCATTTCTATCTGACTCACCAAGTTTACGCACCACATACACGACAAGTTCACCATGCCTCCGTCGGGGTGTGTGGTGACTGGGTGAGTATGTGGAAGGTTTTACGTGTGTGTGAGGTCATTGGTTCGATACCTCCCGAACAGTCATTGTGGTGCAGAGGATACCGACATATTTCTAGCGTATTATCAAAGTTAGTTTACAATTTAACATTACCGCGATTTGTTAGTTTGATAGCCATTAGGGAGGTTGATGTGTTTTCTGATATATTACGACCTTCATCGTCTAGTGTTAGTTGAGCCATAGTGGATAAAACCTCTTCTCATATCTGACCCAGGATGAGGAACAAGCCCAGGACATAGTGTTGAGAGGCACGAACATTACGGTTATAAGATGGAAGAGAAAGACTAAGAAGTACAGAGGCTACCAGAGACACAACACGTAAAGAACAACAACGATTGATCACAGAACTTGAGCAATACAAAGTAGAGTTAACATTGGAGCGATAACATAATGATCAAAGTTTTAAGTCATGTTCAGGTGTTACTGGACAGACAGTGAACAAGAACAACGATGTTCAAAAAAGAATCCTACATATACCACAGATAATACGACACGACTATACATATACTATAATGCATAATATATATATATATATATATATATATATATATATATATATATATATATATATATATAAAACTAACTGTAGAATACATATCAGAACACATATATACTGAATGATTCTTTATGAATAATATATATAATTAATGTTTTAATTTATGTTGGCTGACAGTGGACATTACCTGGAAATGGTTCATTTACATTTAAAATGAACATTTTAATTTCAAAGCATTCCCAGTCTATAAAAAAATAGGAAAAACTCAAGTAGTTTCAATTAATAGTTTTCAAAGGCAATGGTTATTATACTGTATACCCCAGGACTCTCTGTCACATCATTTTAGTAAGAGTATTTTTTACACTCTTGTACGAAACTTAAATTCGAATTATTGATCGTAATTGACAGACTATGGTCTCCCACGCTGCCAAAAGTTCTATTAAGGCCTGACGAGTGTGGTGGAGGTGAGGCAGGAACTGTTTCCCTGTAAAGGAACGAAGCTTCATGGTGTTGATGGTTGTGTTTCGTCCACAACACTTCGAGGAATTTCCTGCACGAATTCAAAGTGGAATGCGAGTTGGAAACACAGCTAGGTGTCTGCAGTCTCTAGTGTGTGTTTGGGTCCAGGTAAATGGAAATTACTGTTTCTAGATTCTACCAAAAAATTCCTGATATTTTTTTTATCCGGATGAAATAATATTCACAAAAAATTCGGGTAAAACTAAAATTTCTGAGATTTTCAATGGAAGGAAATAAACTTAAAACCCGGTTGTCAGGGCAGGTAGAGACAGGTAACTTTCCTCACAGTCCAGCGACTAACTTTCACACGAGTCACTTTCACACGGAGCTCCCTACCTCCCGTAGACATTGACTTTCGTTATACTGGGAGAAAAACTAATCAATTTAATACTAACCAAATTCCTCGTCTGAACTAGTAAAAAAAATTAACTACTTTGGTGGTTAACGAAACACTCAACCTTCTTCAACATTTATCTAGGAAACTAAAGATGGCAGAAAGGAGAAGATAAACAGTAAGAGAGAGGAAACAGGACAGGAAACATTGACTGGAAAAAATACTGCAATAGTGTGAGAGGGAAGACCTGCCTGCCTGCCTCCTCCACCACACTCCACACATTGTCACGGATTACTTGCAGGTCGAGTGAGTCTGAAAGATGAGGCAGCTGGCGCGAGGTAAACAAGAACACGTCCGAGAACCAAACAATAGACATTATGATATGACTTGTGATCGATATGAGGAGAGGTGAGGATGTCTTAAAAGAGGAATTCTCAGATCTTCTCGGAGATGAAGTACAGTCAATCAATCACCAGGAGAAGATAGAGGTATCGACTAATGCCACAAAGAAGAAGATAAAACAATAGTGTAAATAAAAATACCAGGATGATGGAAAGTGTTGATAATAATGTACTGTATAACTCAAATACTATTGATGCCCAGGCAGTAATTTTCCCCCCATGGCAATACTTAAGTTAGCCCTTAAACTGCCGCAGTTTTCTCTGGTCTTCCCTTAATTTGTCTTTTTGGCAGGATTCATCAATATAAATGATGATGATGATGATGAGATATATAGTCATCTATAAATAATAACTATTCACATTGTAAAAACTGATCTTATAGAATATGAAATTAACGTCACGGAAACCACATTAAGTCGATATATACATTATAGAATGGTAAATTAATTTGTAATGTATATTCTACTTCACACAAATGCCTAATTCTAAGGACACATTAGCATATAAATTGCCGCCGCACGAATATTTACACAACTCGAGACGTTGCCGCAATAAACACTAATTCTGAGTTCTGACGCCATGAGCAGAACGGGTGGTGTGTGTGTGGGAGACCATTGACGATGTGGGAGAGGGCCTTGACGATGTGGGAGAGGGCCTTGACTGTGTGAAAGAGGCTCTTGACAATGTGGTAAAGGCCCTTGACTGTGCTGGAAAGGCCCTTGACGATGCGGTAGAGGCCCTTGACTGTGTGGGAGAGGTCCTTGACTGTGTGACAGAGGCCCTTGACTGTGTGAGAGAGGCCCTTGACTGTGTGGGAGAAGCCCTTGACTGTGTGAGAGAGAGGCCCTTGATGATGTGCGAGACGCCCTTGACGGTATGGAAAGGATCCTCGAGGTGTCTGGAGGCAAATTATATAATTTTTCTATTGAGGAATCCTTCCGGTCTCCCCAACACCTCAGACATTCCTAAACAAGCCGCACTTTCTTCCCCGCCTGACTCACTTTTTCATATTTGACTTAGGAAATAATTTTTGTGAAAGACGAACATTTAATATTAGTTTGGAGTAAAAAGTTGAGCAAGGGATTGACCTATACCGCCATTAAATTCGGTATTAATCTAGAGGTGGTCTTGTAAGTAGTCATCTATATCTATCTATCTATTTATTTTCAAGTATATACACTAGTTACATGTACTTATACTGAATTAAGAACTTCTTGATCGCAGGAAATCTTTGTAACGTGGAAGTCAATGTATTTATAAATGCCAGGATAAATTTATCAACATGGTCACTATTAAAGTTTCATCAAATGATAAAGTTTTTTATAATTTCGACTTAAAAATAGAGTTTACACACACACACACACACACACACACACACACACACACACGCACGCACGCACGCACGCACACGCACACACACACACACTACAGTACAGAGGTTAACCAAGTGTTGTTGTCTTTACAGTGCTGTGGGGTGTGGGCGTGGACATGGTCTACCACCACCACCTGATGGGCGTCTACATCTTGTGAGTAACTCTGTTTATCTCTTTGTATGGATGTATGTATCTTTGTTTAAGTGTATTCATTCCAAAAAGTATCTTCAAGGAGGTGATCGATGAATTTCAGAATGAACACTATGACTCCTGTTGTCTCAGTAGGGTTGTCAAAATCCTTCACCCGTTGTCATATCCCACACAAAATCGTATAGTGTAGATACTTTTTGGAGCGAGTTATTTTAAGATTCATTATGTACTTCGGTAAATTATTATTGTAATTTTATATTATACTGTAGCAGGTTGGTGATATAGGAAGCTCTTTAACGATGTATAATTATGTAGTTAGATTATAGAAGCGGTCACCATGTTATAGTACTAGAGTGCAATACCCGGCTGAGTCTAGAGTACTCGCACACCCGCTCTGCCCCACCACATGTTTTTCACTGGCCTTTCATCCCAAACTCGAACTCACACAGAAAATTATATTACGTTTTATATCCTGGACAGTGAAAGGTAATAGAAATTTATATTACAAAATGAAATATTAACACACTAGTTTACTATTAGTCACTGTGTAACACTTAAACCACTTAGTTAATATTGAACAGATAAGCACCAGTTTTATATTTCAAATTTTCATTTCACTTATAGAAAAAAATAAATATTCCAGTCATCGAGATTCGTAAATAAAAGTCCCGAGAAGATAAACAGGGAGTAATATTTTATTTCCCTCTTCCTCCTATTGGTGTTTACATCTCTCCACAGTGGGTAATGGCGTCATGGTACCAGCACAAGTAAACTCCACTTCATTTTCTGATTCTAGTGGTAACGATCAAGTAAGCATTGCTATCCTATACAAAACTTGAATAATACCGATTTTGGGGGAACGTTCAACCATTTGTTCTTGCTAAAATCATAAATCAGGAACGCTTTGTTTTCATTCGCTGGGGCCGTTTGTTGAGCGTGTCCCAGCGAATGAAAACAAAGTATGACTGAACTCAGTGTAATTTGTTCTCGGAAACGAACCAGTCAGCGCATCCACTAACCATCCAAGTCTAAAACTGAACATTATGAACGTGGTAATAATCAGTGACATGTTCCTACTAAAAATAATATACTTAAATGCTGTTCATATATTTTTCTCTCTCTTAGTAACTGAACAGCGTAAATTTCCAGTTTGTTTCGAAAAATATAACAGCATCAGCACTTACCTCTAACACACAGAGGCTCTACGTTGTAACCTTGTGTTGTAGACTTAAGTTCTTGTAGAAACTGTAGTGTTGAAGTGAGTAAAATTTCACCCAAACGTTAAGTCAAATATCTCTCTAAACACGACAAAATATTTCCTAAACAAGTCTCGCCTTTAATCAGACATCTCAGGCCACACTAATCAAGAGCACAGTCAAGCCACCTGTCACTCCCAACCACCACCGGGTATACTGCCCTCTAACACACACACCGACTTAACCTCATCACTTACCAGGCTACACATACCACCAGACTGAAGACCAGCCTCAACAACACAACTACAGCAGCACAGTTCACACACACCAACTGGTAATTTCGTTTTCCAAGACACACGTAAAATATTTCAAACTGATTTTTTATTTGTTTAATATTTATGTGATATCTTACATACGATTTTATTTATTAATCGTATTGTGTATCTTACGTTCACGTGTAGCTGTGACATGTTATACGCCACACTTTAATTGTAGTCATTACGGTTATTACTATCCTTCAATAACTAAATTCTTTAAGTCCATCAATAAATAACAATGAAATAGAATTCTGTTGTGATTGTAGTCATTTACAGGTCAATAAACCTTCCCAATTGTTGCTTTAATGTTACCTTCATTTACGAGTTATTTTGTAAATTTTTTGTGGTAAATTTCTTATTGTATCGGTTCACATTATTACCTCGTTATTTTATGTTTCGTACTGAATGCCTGTACCTGTATGTATGTATGTATGTATGTATGTACACATATACACTCCTGACATATGTAATAAAATAGGTATTGTATATTCTACAGGTATACACTTACACTCGGGGTCAAAAGTTCATTCCCTCCCAAAATGAGATGAAACAGTCAGGGTAAGTCAGTTCGGAGACTCATTCCCGTGACTCACAGTTTCACTACTGGGAGCGAACTTTTGCCCTTGATTGTACCTGAAGGAGAAACACTATTAACCTTCGTCTACCCCTACAGAGTGTTCGCCTTCACCCTGTTCTTCCTGGAGATCACGTGGGCCATTACACTCTTCCTCCGTGTGTGTATAAGGTAAGTCTTTGCCTCCTGTGTTAGTAATAATCTTTTTATTTCTCATTTTCTTATTTTCTTTTCTGTATTGTGATAATTTTAGTTTCAACTTTCTAATTTATTTTCTTATTTCTTGTTTTCATTAGTTATTTTTGTTATTTATATTGTTATTGTTATGAATATTGTGTATTTTCATAGTTATTTTTATTTCCTGTTATCTACAATGTTATTTCTGCCTTTTGTTTATAATTGTAACCTATTGTTTTTGTATGTTTTACCTCATAAGCCTTTTATTACATTCTGTGTATATACAAAGCGTAAAAGGCAATTGTTTCTCACTGTTATCTCTCCCTTATGTGCATTAGGTGAGTTTCGACTTTGTCTCCAATGTCTCACACTTTCTCAGAAGTTTGAAAGAAAGAAGACGATTATTGCTTGGCTCTCCGTCACCCGTCCGCTTGTCCAAACTTCTCCTGCAGCAGATTTCACTAAAGGGTTACTGTGTGTGTGTGTGTGCGTGTGCGTGTGTGTGTGTGTGGGTGTAGTACTCGCCCGAAAAGAAACTAGACCAAAATAGATAAATATGTCAATTCGTCTCACTGTCTCACTTATTTCGCTCTTTCTTCACTCTGCTTCGTGACCTCAATATCAAACCGACTTTCTGCAATATTAAGTCAGTTTACTTTTGGTTTACATTTGACATATTTATTAAGTGTCATCAAGTTTACTGTCTTTGTATTTATTCACTCTTAAATACGACATAGTGTCAAATGCACGTACAGTACAGTTACCCACAAAAATCCTGTCACCTCTCCTCCTGAACCACGAACCCCCCCGAGAGATTCAGACTCGTGAACCCGAAGCAGTAGACTAATACATTATTCTATCACTCAATGCTTCGGATTCACTCGTCTGTATGTCGGGGTTCGTGGTTCAGGAGGAGAGTCGGCGGGACTTGAGGGTGACTATCTCTCCCCACCACCCCATGTTCCTCCACCCCACTTCCACCCCCCACCTCCTCTCCAACTTTACCTCACGCCGTCCTTCAAGAAGTGAGTTGCCAGATTTCACGGAACAGTTTGTGCTGATGCGAGTTTAAAAAGGTCCAGTTAGTGGTATTTAAATCTCCTACGATCAACATTACGGTAAACCCTCTCAATAGCGGACTTCTCAATAAAGTAATGGATACAGTAAACTCTCCCATACCAAACTAATTCTTGCAAACCATTGTTGGGAGGAATCTGTTATTGAGAATATCCGCTATTGAGAGGGTTTACTGTATCCATAATTATTAAGAAGTCCGGTATTGAGAGGGTTTAATGTACAAATATCTCTACGTGTAAGAACTCGTCATAAAGGAAGATTCAACTGGCCTGGAAGAAGCAAATATTCTTGTAGAAAAAGTTGTAATCGTTTACTGGGAACATCGTAAATAACTGAAGGAAGTGGAAGGTTATTTAGGTAATTTATTGGTAGTTTTTAGAGTAAGTGGCTGACCTGACCTTCCCTGCCTTTACTAGCAGCCAACCTGCCAGCCAACCTCCCAGCCAGGTGGTGGTGGGTGGTCTGAGTCGACTAGTAATCTGTGTGTACCCAGCCAGCCAGCCACTCCTGCATGACTCACCACCATCACCACCTACACACTACCACCACCACCACCATCCCACACCACTAGTGGTACAACCGCCACCACTACCACCAACTTAACCTGAAGACGAGAGACCATCTTCAAATAAAGCAACATCGACCTTATTTCAACCATCATTAGTGTCGCCTCTCCATCACCACCACTTAGAAGCGTTCCCTGATCGACAGTTAACTGGGAACTGTTGACTGACTGAACGTCCCTTTCAGTCTCCCAACATTCGGTCCGGGAGAAGTAAACGTTAAAAATATATTGGTTCTTATTTACGTCTCGTGTAATCTGCATAAATACTAGATCAATAATGTGTGTGTGTGTGTGTGTGTGTGTGTGTGTGTGTGTGTGTGTGTGTGTGTTTGTGGTTATTCCCTCATGTATGATAATTTTTCCACTTATTCTGAATATCGTGTTTTCTTTTGCATTAGTTATTAGTAAATTATTATTGTACAGACACACACACACACACACACACACACACACACACACACACACACACACACACACACAGGGAAAAATAAGCCGAAAGGAGAAAAAGAATTGGTGGGACACACAGCAGAAGGGCAGGAGGACAGAATGGTCTTTCTTTACGTGAAGCCACACACACACACACACACACACACACACACACACACACACACACACACATCAAAAGTATTCATACATACACAAATGCACGAATATTCATACATAAACACCTACATATCATACACCACACAATTAATGCATACACTCTTGTTACATTATGTTGAATATTAAAGAAATATTAATAAATATACGTCAATATGAATGTCAGTAAAGAACAAACAAACAAAAAACAGACTCAAGTATGAAATATAAACTTTAGAAACACACAAGAAATTATAATTTATTTGGTTAACTTCTTGAGAAAAAAATATCACCTTCTTAGACGAATATTTTCAAATCAGAATTTACCTGTAGCGTAAGGAAGTGATTTTTACAGGTAGTGCGCTCAAGTTAACCTTTAATACACAAGTACTGGTCATTAGTGCATGTCAACGAGCATTAAAAAGTGACTTAATGATGTGTGAAATTATAAATGCCATTTTTTTTTTTTAGTGAAAGAAACATTAATTGAGTTGGTTGTACTTGAAGTGAATGGTATTATTTATGTTTTTTGGGGAAGCAATTATAATGGGGGATTAAAAACACGAAATTGTACGATATAAGTAAGCAATAAGTATAATTGATGATTTCCTAGATAAACGAACAACTTAAAGATATAGAATTTGTAATAAAAAGTAAGTTATTTGACAGTAAAAGTCCTCCTGTTCCTCCTTCTCCTCCTGCTCTTCTCTGGACTCCTTCTCCTACTCCTACTTCTCTCCCTTCTCCTCCTCCTCCTGCTCTTCTCCGGACTCCTTCTCCTACTCCTACTTTTCTCCCTTCTCCTCCTCCTCCTCAAAAAAAAAAATAAAATAAAAATATCTAAACAAAATTATGTTGAAAAAATATGACACAACGGCCGAAGGATTTTGACAACCCTACCGAGACAACAGGAGTCACAGTGTTCATTCTGTAATTCATCGATCACCCCAAGTACAGATAGTTCTTTGAGTGACTGTACATAAGTGAAATATTAGTCTATCTACAAATTATTTAACATATATCATATTTTATCATCTTCTAATACAATATAACATTAAAACTGTCACCTCATTATCCAGTTATAATTATATAGATTCTATCATAATTCGTCTTATTCCAGAATATGTTCAGTGTTCAAACTTTTTTTTTTCCACCTAAAATACAATTTCCCTCGATACATATAATTCCATGTTAACAAATACATTTCCCCAAACAGACGGTCATGTTTCGTACGTGTTTTTGTAATTTTTTTCATTTTTTTTTTACTTATGCAGGAGTCAAGGGACATCTTACATTACCTTCCCGGCACGGAGGACGGCAGCTTAAGTTACCCTCATTAAAATATTACCTTTCCTCCTACCACTAACCCTTCCTTTACTCTTCTTCTGTTTTTATTTCTTTTGTGGAATTATCGTTTGTTTACACCCACATTACTTTATTGTTTATCATATCAAACTGACGAGCCTCTGATAACTATCACCTATTTGTCAACACCGTCCCTTTGCATTCATCACGTTCATGTTTACGTTAGGTTAGGTTAGGTTATGTTAGGTTAGTTTTGCGATGAAAGAGAACATCAAAGTTTAGCACAATCAAAGTAAGGTATACATGTTGGAACGAGGAAACACACACACACACACACGCACGCACACACACACACACACACACACACACACACACACACACGAAAGGGCAATGACCGTCCTACTCACAAGACTCGTTTAGCGTGAGTTAAAATGTTTCGTATTTTCATTTGATAAAAAAGTGTGTGTTCAGCTGATGACTTTGACATTCAGTTTACACTGTATTTTTTTTTATAACACCGCTTCAGGTAAGACTACAATGTTCATCAAAATGTTTTAGTTTACTGTGTCATATGTGTTTTAAGGGTAGTCTTATGTTAATTGGGGATGGTAATGTGTTGATTTACGCGAAAACTTAACAGCAATGTAATAATCTGTACTGTATAAAGTCCTTCCTCAAGAATGACGGGGTATAGGACGCTTGACGGGGAGTTTAGAGTTCATTGGCATAAAGGATGTTGCAATTTTAGTTAGAAAAATAGTCAGGGAAGTTCAGTTTAATCCTTTATGTGGATGAAACCGGAGTGGCTCTGAAATACAGATTCATATACTCAAAGGCAAATATGTCCCATTGTCTGAAAATAGAAAGTCTTTGATCTAACGCGTATTTGAATGTGCGCTTGGCATAACATATTGGAACAGGAAAGGATAAATATGGGTGAAAATTAAAAAAAAAAAAATATTGACGTTTAAAACCAAAAAGAGGTCAACGGTCGTCTCTTGTCATAAAGGTCACTGGTTCGCGTCCACGGAACCCCAGGTCATCCAACTGTGTAATGTTACTTTACAGTTGGGAAGTAATGACAGTCATGTTCAGTGCCGACCATTCAGATTCCTCAGATAACCAAAGAGTTAGTCTGTAGTGTTATAACGACCCATCAGGCTTATAGATCCGCCTTCATAACAAAACAAAAAACAACTCGGAAGTCTTATAACCATAAAAAAAAAGTTTCTATCCACATAAATTCCAAAAGGAAACATTGATCACATTAGAGGGGCAGGTGTCGTCCCAGGGAAAGTGATCAGGTCACATATATCCCACAGAGGCCACTATATATCGCCTACCCCCACCATTATGTTCCCCCAGCGGCCTCCTGACGTATATGTTTTACACAAATTAAAATTTATTTCCTAAGCCTTTCATGGTCTCCAGACGTCTGCCTCTCACCGACTTTTCGTTTTACTCTTCCTTTTGCCATAAGTATTTGGTATAGGAAAAAATGGTCAATATAATCACAAAAAGAATGAAATGTAATGATTATATTTGATTAATCTTACACCGGAAGAGACTTGGGGGAAGGTAGTATGTTGGGGGGAGGGAAGGTATGTGGGGGTGGTATGAGTATGTGGGGGAAGGGGTATGTGAGGAAGGGGTGGTATGTGGGGGAAGGGGTGGTGGAGGAAGGGGTGGGGTGTATGTGGGGAAGGGTGGTAAGTGGGAGGAAGGGAAGGTATGTGGGGGGTGGTATGGGGAAGGGTGGTATGGCATATAATGTGAGGGCATGAGGGGCATGGGCATGGAGAAAGTATGTGGTATGTGGGGGGGGTAAAGTGGTAAAAAGGGGATATGTGGGAGAAATAAGTATGTTGAGGAGGGGGGAGGGGGAGACAAAATGAGAAGTATGTTGAGAGAAGAGAAATATACCCTGAGCAATACAGATATTACTCACGATTACTATTACATTTATTGGATATCGATTCACCTTTATTTGGGATTAATTAACACAGGTGATCTTCTCAATCAATAATATCCAGGTAAATTACTTCACAACTGACTTATAGCGCTAATGAGTCACAAATGTAAATCTACATATGTCTTCTCTTGAAATAATCATCAAAAAGTTTACCCCAATTCCGCTATTCTATTTCAGATTTTTTTAATATCATCGTAAAATAAAACACAGGCCACGGTGGGAGGGGAGGGAGAGCTGTTAAGAGAAATGGAAGAGGAGAGGTTAGGTTAGGTTAGGTTAGGTCAGGTTGCTGTTGCCTTAATGGTTTGGGGAATGGACAATTACCTTACCTTGACGAGGGTTCGACGAAAGTTTTGAGAAAGTTGTGTCGTTTAAGTCACAATATAGACAAACTCCGCTGCGGTCATTTGAGAATTGATTTACGAAGATTTTCAAGTAATATTGCTGTAGTTGTTTCTCTCATACCACACACACACACACACACACACACACACACACACACACACACACACACACACACAGCTACCGGGGTTAAAAACAACTAAGGATCTACCTTTTTCAGTGGCCTAATGATGTTGAAGGGTGATTCAATCGTTAGTATCCAAAAGTTATTAATAATATATCTGTTAATGAATATACTCTAAAACCGTATTAATAAAATAACAAAAATTAAATAATTAAACTCATCGTTCTTGTTTCCATTATCGACTTAGTCTCTTTCCCTCTCAGCTCCTTGGCTAAACTTAATTCACCTGACAGAGTTCTTCATCTCGTGTATATTTGCATAATTATACCAAATTATTGACAAAAAATGATCTTCTCTGGTGCTGAGGTTGGAGGAAGTGAGCTAAAGTTGATCATAAATTACTAAAGTTTGCTTGCTCTGTGGTTTCGTTTTTAGTGTGTGTGTGTGTGTGTGTGTGTGTGTGTGTGTGTGTGTCTGTGTGTGTTATAGGGAAGAACGGGGAGGAGGGGAGAGAGGGGAAAGGGGGAGAGGAGAGGAGGAATGGTGGACGTATGATAAGGAAAATGTACGAGGGAGGGAGAGAAGAAAGGGAAAGAGCAGAGTAGGAGAGGGTGAGATGAGGTGGGGAGAAGGAATGGAGGAAGGACGGGAAGGCAGAGGAAGATGGGATGGAGGAGTAGGGGCAAGAAACAGGAAGGGGTGAAAGAAGAGGAAGGCAAAAAGGAAGACGAAGGAGAAAGGAGGAAGGAAGAGGAAGGAAGAGGAAAATGGATTCAATCATTCATTAACCAGCAGAGGTCACTGAAAATCGTATCCACATCTGGTGTTATCTCAAGAGGCTGGGTAGAACAACACCTCAATGTATATACTGAAAAAACAAATTTATCCCAATTTATATATTCTTAAAAATTATTACCTAAATCACAATGATGAAAAAAACAAACAAATACTTTGCCTACTTTATATAGGTATATTTTTAAAGTATATAATAATAATATAAAAATACGTGCACATACTTTGGTTATATTTTAATATATGTTAATCTAATATACAATATGTCTCTGATAAAATGTCTATATCTATGCCTCCCTAATTAATGTGTTTAATGATATGCTAATTTCTTTACAGTATATCACATAACTATTTCATAAACTAATAAATCAATACAAATTTATCAATAATAGTAAGAATAGCGACTCCCTAATACAACTCTTCCATTGGGGATCTAACAATCTTTTAATTTATCAAGTTGTGTAAATTCAAAGTTATCCACTCAATGCAAGTTACAGACAATACCAGATAACACTTACCTGGCCCAATAAGTCGACAGGTGTGACAGATGGCCAGGTAGACTACACTGACAAACAGGTGTAAGGTGATAAGGTTAACCAATGTGTGTTGGTCTCTGGCAGGAACGAGACGAGCAGGGTGTTGGGGTGTTGGTCAGTGGTGCTCTGGCTGGACACATGGAAGAAATCACTCATCTACTGGGCCGCTGCAGCTGCCATCCTCCTCAGCCCACACACACTGTGGCTGACGTCCGTTTCAGGTAAGATCCGTAACACATGGCCAGCTTGAGTATTGTATGGCTAATAACCCACGACGTCACAATGGCTGGATCTAGTATAGTATGGCCACTTATATAACATCTCATGGCCCGGATCTGACGTCTTATGGCCCATTTACATAACGCAACACTGGCTAAGGATAATTTAATTCCAGTTTACTTCATTCCCTCAGTGTCCCTCATCCCACTAGCTTAAATGACCCGACAAATTCCAGCATAAATACAAAGGGAAATAAGATAAAAGGTGAGTATCATTTTCTTGGTCTCACACATAAGGTTGAATCAGAGACGATCCATTTGTTTTGGTTTATTCAGGCGAGTGGCACTGTACACACACTACAGAGCCTTCAGCTGCCACGTCCTCCCCAAGCTCTCTGTCTCTGCCACCCTCACGTCTCTTCTTTTCTCTTACGCTATACACCACACAATCAATATAATTCTCTTCTTATCTCTCAGTCTCTCCTTCTCTCAGATACATGATTTTGCTTTATTTTTTATTTCCCTTTCCCTCTTTCTTCTTCCTGTTGGTCTCTCTCTCTCTCTCTCTCTCTCTCTCTCTCTCTCTCTCTCTCTCTCTCTCTCTCTCTCTCTCTTTCAGACAGCTATGAATACACGTGAATAATAAACCCCTTGTGTACGGGGGTCGCTGTGTTTGAATAAAGTCGCCCCTCCCCTCACCGTTCCACCCCGCTCCGCCCCGCCCCGCCTCACCCCACTCTGGTTCTAAAACTTTACCTCTCATTTTGGTAAAGTATGCCACAGAACTTGACTCCAGATTCTCAAAATATCTTACGTTATAATATTTTCTTTTTCTACCTTAAGAAGAACCGAAACAAAGACCCATGTTAGGATAGTCTCAGAGTCTTTCCCATATCCTTTAAAAAATACGATTGTCTTCTGTATTTTCACTGAGGTAGTTAGATACATTTTTTTTTTACGTCTCCAGTTAAAGGGGAAAAAGTGACTTACGGTTTACTAAGAATCCAGGTTGTGTGTCGTATGTCTAGTATGTGTGGTTTTTAAGCAACTGTGTGATATTGAAGGATCATCAGAACAGCCACCTTAGTGTTTTAAAATAAGCAGTCCTACCCCCCACTACTTTAACTCTTTCAGCACGATGACTTAACCCTTTGATTACGATGAGTTAATCCTTCAGTATGATGACTTAACCCCTTGATTACGATGAATTAACCCTTTGAATACGATGGTTTAACTCCTTGTTACAATGATTAACCCCTAATTACAATAACATAAACCTTTCAGTATGATGACTTAACCCCTTGATTACGATGAATTAACCCTTTGAATACGATGGTTTAACTCCTTGTTACAATGATTAACCCCTAATTACAATAACATAAACCCTTCAGTATGATGACTTAACCCCTTGATTATGATAACTTAACCCTTTGATTACGACACCTTAAGCCCTTCAATACTATCAAATCACATATACAATTTATTAGTTTAACTCAGGTATTTAATATCCCTACAGGAGGTCTATTGATCGGCCTGGGCGTCTTCCACCTTCTGCTGCTCTACAAAATGAAACTGGAAGCGAAGGAAGCGTTACTGGAGGCCAAGGAAGATTCTTACGACAGGTGTGAGGATGAGGAGGTCACTCTAGAGGCATGAAGGTGTTTGTGTTTGGATTCATGTTCATTCTGTTGTTGTTTATCATGCTAATATATCTCATAGACTAATTAAATATAATGGTATTAGACACTATATATAGTTATGTGGCTTTAAGAATATTATCGTATATTGGGGATAAGGGGGTCGAGTGTGGATGTGGATATCATGTGGATACTAATCACCTCATTCTCCTCCCCCTCCCCCCCCTTCACTTTAAAGATAATGTGTATTTTTAAAGGCCATCTAGCAGTCTACCTGTAATAACATACGTGAGGTTAGGTTAGGTTAGGCTTAGTTAGGTTAGGTTACGTTAGGGTAGGTTAGGTTAGGTTATGTTAGGTTAGGTTACGTGAGGTTAGGTTAGGTTAGGCTTAGTTAGGTTAGGTTATGTTAGGGTAGGTTAGGTTAGAGAGTTTAATCTTCAGATATAGTAAAATAATATCTATCTATCTATCTATCTATCTCTCTCTACCTCTCTCTCTATCTAACCGTCTCTCTCCTCCTCCCACAGGTACGAGGATGAGATGGACGCAGAAGTAGCAGAAGGTGTCAACACAGCCGCCTCCTGCCACGACTCTACCCTGAAGATGTTGCCACGCCTCTCTGCCGCCCTCCTGGCTGACTACGCCTTCTTTGTTAGCCTCACAGGATGATCACGCCCACACTGACGCCCCTGGAGGATCATTACGCCCACACTGATGCCTCTGAAGGAGGATGACCACGCCCATATTAGTGTCTCTGGAGGATTAACACGCCCACAATGATAATATTATTGGATCATCACGCCCACGGAAGAGGATCATCACGCCCACGGAAGAGGATCTCACGGGTTAGAAACACAATGGTGAAGTAAACATGACCTACTGATAACCACACCACACCACACCACACCATAAAACAACACCATCCATCACTCGTTGACACCATACTGACACCATATCACCACTACACTAAACATACGGCTCCCTAGAAGACCCTAAAATAGCAGACACCATACTAGATGATGTCTATATAATGGTGACATAATAACACTACACTGACAACTATCACCATAACCCTTAAAAAGATTATCACACATAAATACACCTATAACAGCTGCACCATTCACTTCACCATAACAGTAGCACATATCTATAATACTTGCACCATACTTTCAACTGTCACGTACACTTAATATATTTACACCATACACTATCATAATAACACCCCAGATCTACAATATATACACCATACCTTTTACCATAATAGTCATACAATAATAATTACACCATACACTACACCATATCCTTACCAGGTTAGCACTGCATATTCACTCCCACTAGTCATATTAGCACCATTCTTCACCATACACACATCAGTCTCACACCATCACCTTACGTCATATTCACTATATCAATATTAGTTACTCACCATGATAAAGCACCATATTCACTGTATTTATTATTACACACTTATATAAACTCTATTGTTAGCACACACACACACACACACACACACACACACACACACACACACACACACACACACACACACACACACACACACACACACACACACACACACACACACACACACACACACACACACACACACACACAACACAAATTTTAACCCAAAGACTAAAACGATAATAATTGTAATGAAAAAAAAACACAGACCTACAAGTTACTCATTGTATGACATATATGAGTGTATGTCTCAATGACTTTAAAGTGTGTTTTAAGTACTAAGTCAATATTCTACTCAGAGGTCTAACATGAACTGAGATAATGAGAAACATTTGGTGTCTAGATCTGTCGTGAGAAACAATAACAATTGACTAGTAAAGACAGATTCATGTATAGAATTAAGACATGTTCCTCTAGGAGATACAACACAAGATATGTCAAATACTTCATAATGGGAATATAAACGATTGAGTTTAATACTTTTCTTAATGTTCAAGTGAAAATAAGAGAGGTGTCGAGAAGGGCCTTGGACGAGGTGTGTTACTGGCTAATTGGACCCCAGCCTCAAACCTAACCTGATGGGCCCCTAGTCCTAAGAGGCCAAGATATATTGGATTCTTACTGGTTAGGTTAGGTTAGGTTAAGTTATGTACTAAGTGTCCATTAAGACAGCGGGCCCATTTGACCACACACCACTGGGACGAGATATTTAATTCTCCAGTGACAAGTTTTACCACAGAAAGATGAAGTGATAAATGTACAGACACTATTAACGCACAGTCAGTTGTCTCTCTTTTTGCTTAACCTGTTCAGTATCGACACAGTCCACCTAGTTCTCTATATCACAAGTTTCTTATTTATTTTCTTTCTGTGAACCAAATTATCCATTGTTCATCATTCACCTGTTCCAAATTTGTAAATATATCAAAAGTTTTATAATTTCGATATGTAATTATTTCTTTATACTAGTCAAACAAACTCACATGTAATATAAGATTCCTGAGTAACCTTGATGCCATAAGAATCATTTATCATAAAGTAAATATTTTTGATTCTTTCGTTCAAGTTGGTTTATTAACTAATGTTCAAGATAATGATATTCTTCCCAAGTCACACTCAACTCTCTATTTGTATCTACAATAACGAATAAAAGTGTAATGTTACTTGTCATGTTTATCTTATCCTGTAGTGTTATTTGGTGTGTGTGTTTTTTTAGTAAACATCGCATTAACAGGGTGAAGCACTCGCTTGTTGCCATGGAGACAATTAACGAGAGAGAGAGAGAGAGAGAGAGAGAGAGAGAGAGAGAGAGAGAGAGAGAGACCAGTACAATACATGGTCTAGCTCTACCCGGTCAGTAATACTCTGTGTTAATTAATTAATTCCATCACATGGCAATTTACCAACTCAACTCAGACTAATGTAAACACACCATGTCGTCAAGTATAAACAAACACTACTTGTTCAACACCACTTGTTCAACACTACTTGTTCAACACTACTTGTTCAACACTAGAAAGAGAACGACGAGAGAACTGAGAGGGGTGAGAGAGGAAAGTGAGAATCTTGGAGTATTTCTCATATTATTTTTGAAGAAAGACTGAGACACGCCACCGACCCTTACCACAACCTCTTGTCTCGGCAGCGCCTTACAAGTCTCCTCACAAAGTTCACTCCAGTCTTCTATCTTATTCCTCAATCTTTTTTTTTTTTATTCACGTTTTTATTAATTTGTTTATTTACTTTATTTATTTATGATCTAAAGTGATATATGATTATAATACACTGGGAGACTTGTGTAAGGGTTAGGTTAGGTTAGGTTAGGTTAGGTTAGGTTGTGTGTTTTACTAAAGAAAGACGAAGTTTAAAAAAAAATCGATCATGTTGGAGAAGACTAGAGTACAGTGACTGACTCGAAAGCTAAATTGAATGGCCCTTGGGAGTAAGAGCTGGTGGAGGAGGGAAGCTGAGAGAGAGAGAGAGAGAGAGAGATGTGATAGAAGTGGGAAAATAGTGTGGGTGGAGGAAGGAGGTGGTGTGGTTGAAGTGAAGGGTGGATTAAGGAAATGAGTGGATTAAGGATATGGATGGATTGAGGTGAAGGGTGGATTAGCAAAGGTGGAGGAGGAGGATGGGGCACGACCTAACCTAACCTAACCTAACTAATCATTACTAAAAGATATAAAAAAGAAATTCAGCTTAATGGAGTCGATCAAGGTTCCATGAGTACACTGGTTCCCTTCAACATACAAAGGCTGACACTTTCCTGTTTATTAAAGATCCCAAACGCTTATATATACATCTGTCTGCCTGTCCGTCTGTCTGTCTGTCCGTCTGTCTGTCTGTCTGTTTCTCTGTCTGTCTGTTCTTTCTCTTCAAATTTTGGATTAAATTATAATATTCTTTCTCAGAGTAATTTTTCTGTAGTTACTTCCCTGGCGGAGATGATTATGATCTTTCGTACAAATACAGAAATTATAACAAGTATTTGTAGAGTATAATAATGTATTTGTTTTACGTATGTGTTCGTTTCCTCACACCGCTGGCTTCGTCTTCATGATGAATGAGTAAACAAAGCCGAACGCGTTATCAATGTTATCTATGGAAGGAAATTGGTGTTTCCTTACTCACTCTGTTTACTTTTTTTCTACTTTTTTGGTAATTATAATAAATCTTGAACTATATAATTAAACACCATATCCCTGAGTAATTAATATACTCATCTGTGTAGTTAGTTACCCGTGTACTTAATTACCTGAGTAGTCATTAAGAATACTTCCACCTGTCAAATTATATTCAATAAGTAGCTAAGAATAAAAGACTTAATTAACCCATTATGAGATATTTCAAACTAATATTTACCTCACCTTAAATAGATCACCTTAATAAATCACTACCAGTTTCCATGTAGAGAATAATAGTGAGTTATTTAATACCCCAGGGAAATAAAGTAAGTGATTTTCCAATATCTCTGAAACCTTTTGCCAATCACCGTGATTCAGTAAACTCTAGCAGAATATTTATTAAGAAACTCTATCAGCATCCTACACAATTTTCTACTTTGGTGTTTAATGGTTAATATATCCCATAAGTATATTCTATTAGTATATTCCATTATTATATTCCATTTTATAGAGTTAAGGCTAAATGATGGAGGTTTATCAAGAACTAAATGTAAATCGTCTCGCATCTCATATACCCACGACAACACACACACACACACACACACACACACACACACACACACACACACACCTCCAGTAGTAACTCAAGACTGGGACGACTCTGTATCTCAGGGATGGAAAGTCAAGGTTTGTTATCACTGCCTTGACGATTTTTATTCTTATATTATATTCTATTTAATAAGAACACAAGATACTTACAGTGTTTGGTAGATTAATTAGGATATGATTCGAGTTAAATTTTTGGTTATGTTAAATGATTCGGGTTAAGAATTGTGGTTATGTTATATCATACGAAGGAGATATGTAACCTAACCTAACCTAACCTAGCCTAACTTAACTTAACCTAACCTAACCTGACATTGACTATACTTGTGAGGAAGACGAAAGTTTGGAAAGCTTTTAAAGAATCTGGAGCTACTTTCAAGGAACACATCTTTAGCGCTACTTAAGGAACACTGTCAACTGGAACTTGTTATTGTTTTTGTCGGGAATTATATAGCTTCGTCTTTAATCACACACACACACACACACACACACACACACACACACACACACACACACACACACACACACACACACACACACACACACACACACACACACACACACACACACACACACACACACACACACACACACACACACACACACACGTACGCAGCTGGGAGCAACATCTAGGACACTTTGTACATCAACACTATCCAAGGTGTAATTTCATTTGGCTTCTCTTCCTAGAATTGGAGGCACCTCATCAAGCAGAGTATTGATATAGCTGGACACCCGGCCATCATATTCTACCTGGCCATCACATCCGGCCATCACACCAGTCACACCCGGCCACCACACACACACACACACACACACACACACACACACACACACACACACACACACACACACACACACACACACACACACACACACACACACACTCTATTAACTTAAAAAAAACAGCAAAAACAAAACAAGACACACTTACTAATATCAAGTGTCTCTGTAATTTCTCCTTAAGTTAATTGTAATCATCATGGTAATATAGGTAATAGCCACGACTCACCTGACCACTCAGCTAATACCTGTGTGGCTTAATGATTTACGGAACCACTCTCATGATTGTTCCCCTGACCAAACGTATAATACTATTGCTTACTTAATAATACTTTACAACATTGAGTATAGTGTATAATTACCATCTCACCATTATGGCTATTATGCATAGTTTACATATAATGAAGGAGAGAAATATATCATAGTGTAGTCTCTATTTAACGGATTCTATGGGGGGGGGGGGCTACTATATGACGAGAGCAGTCCGTTATAGGGAGGGTTCACTGTAGTGTGTTTTAGTGGATGACTTTTCGTGTGCCTAAATTTCATCCTTCTGACCTGCCATGAAGGTTGATGGTTACTGTCTGATGTTGGTGTGGTCATGACGGTGTGGTCGTGTTGGTGTGGTCTTGTCGGTGTGGACAGTGTGGTTGAGATTGTGTGGTCGTGTTAGTTTGATCGTGACGGCATGGCCCTCCGCGTTGGTGTGGTCGTGACGGTGTGGTCGTGTTGGTGTGGTCTTGTCGGTGTGGACAGTGTGGTTGAGATTGTGTGGTCGTGTTAGTTTGATCGTGACGGCATGGCCCTCCGCGTTGGTGTGGTCGTGACGGTGTGGTCGTGGCTGAGTCGTAGATGCCAGAGAGGAGTTTGTCTCAGCCTAACACACTTTATGAGTCGTTGGACTTTATTCCCTGTCTGTAAGTCGTCTCTAACTACCGGAGTTACGCCTCGGGCAAAAATTCTTATATGAGTCTTACACGGAGGTGAAGAGGGAAGAGGAGGAGGAGGAGGGGAAAGAGAAGTGGGACGAGAAGAAGAAGAGTCTAAGAAAAGGAATATAAGGGAAG